GGGGGACCACAGCAGCGGGGAGAGCGGGAGAGGCACAACGCACCGCTGGACGGCAAAGGGAAGCTCCCACGAGCCCGGGCAGGACTGCACGACGACGTTGGACTCCTTGACGCCGCACTCGAGGAGCTTGGCCTTTGCGCCGGCGACGAGGGGGTCGATGATGGTCGAGTTCCAGCGCGCGTGGACGATGGCGACGCGCAGGCCGGAGCCGTCGTGCTGCTGCGGGGTCGGGCCCTTGAGGGAGGACATGCTGGGCGGCGGTGTAGGAGTAATTCGTGTGCGGGAGGGTGAATTGAGCTGGGGGTTTAGGAGGAGAGCTGTGGTGGAGGTGGTGGTTGCTGAGTGCTGGTAGATGGATCTTCAGCAAGGGAGGCGGCCGACGATGGCGGGGCTGGTTGACGAACGCGGCGGGGCAGCTGTGCACCTGGGCTTGCAAGCCCGAGTTTCACGCCTTTCGGGGTCCTGGAGCCCGTGGGCGGCACGTCATGCTCCACTGCTGACTACCGAATTGTTGCGAGATGCCCCCCAATGCGGTCACGAGCTTCTTTCAGGGTCCTCGGTAATAATGGAAGGCACGACAGGTTCGCACCTGTCTGCAAGCACAGAACCCGGATATCAGGAAGCTCACCAGTTGCTCCTTCCTTGACAATCTTTCGCTTATTCACGCAGGGCCCCTCAGGCATCAATGCCCAAGATGTGTTCGCAGCAGAATTCCAGACGTCGTGGCTTACAGGCCTCGTCGTTGCATTCTGCGGGTGTTCATCATTTTGTTGCCGTCGTTACGAACAGCACATTGACACAGATCTGAAGACATACCAGCTGCATCTGCATGAAAATCTACCATTGCACTTAACTTGCGAGTTACCACGTCGCCGCCCATGTCCATTCGTCCGCTCCCGCAGGAGACCATCCGCCTGCTCTCGTCCTCGGTGAAGCTTACGAACCCGTGCGACGTTCTCAAAGAGCTCGTGGATAACGCCATCGATGCAGAGGCCACCTCGATTGACGTCGTCGTGTCGGCCAACACCCTTGACAAGATCGTCGTGCGAGGCAACGGCCATGGCATTCCCCTGGAAGACCTGGATCTGCTCGGGCGGAGGGGCCACACGAGCAAGCTGAGGAGCTTCGAGGAGCTTCAGCACAAGGGCGGCGAGACGCTGGGATTTAGGGGTGACGCGCTGGCCAGTGTCAATTCCATCGCTACTGTGGTCATCACTACGAAAACGTCCGGGGAACCTGTGGCAACCCGGATTCAGTTGCGGCATGGCATTGGCGGCGTCGTCGACAGGAAGCCAGTATCCGGGCCCGTTGGAACGACTGTACAAGCTTCCGAGCTCTTCAAGGCTATACCGGCGCGGAGACATCTCTTACTCCATGGCACACAAAAGACTTTTTCAGGTATGCGGGATCTTCTCAGTGCGTATGTCATCGCTCGACCCCGCCTGAGAGTTTCGTTGAAGGTGGCCGGGCACGACAGCAGCTTCTTTTCGTATGCTCCCAGTGGCGCGGGTTCTGTCAGAGAGGCAGCTCTTCAGCTATTCGGAAAAGCACTGGTCGCCAACTGCACGCCAATCAGTCTCCACCACGAGGCAAGCGGGTTCGCCTTGGACGCCCTTTTACCAAGTCGAGACTGCGACGTGAAGGCTCTCAAGGGCAAAGCGTTTCACGTGTCGGTGGACCGAAGACCTCTTTCCCCGTCAGGAGAGTTGCCAAAGTTGCTGTACAAGCAGCTCAAGTCGCATATCTCGAGGTCCTTGGCTACCACGAACCTGCCAACGTTGTTCATGCAGCTGAACATCACCTGTCCCCGCGGAAGTTACGACCCGAACGTGTCGTCGTTGAAGGACGAGGTGCTATTTGCCAACCAGCAAGAAGTGTTGGAACTCTTTGAGGAGCTGTGCCAGGCAGTGTACGGCATCAAAGAGTCGTCCGATGGAGAAGAAGGTCGAACAGATGCTGCCTCACAGGCGCCGGTCTCATCAAGGTGACTTGTCCTCCGCAAGCAGATTCAATCTCAAAGCTTACTCTCTGCGCAGCCCCGATAGTGATGGCGGCAATCAGAGCTTGGACGATCTAGCGCCGCTAGATGACTGTGATGTGTTACAAATGTTTGAAGACATGGAGAGGGCCGAGATGCTGGATCATTTGGACGAGGAAGCGAAGGCTGGAGGCACCTCAACCAATGCTCAAACGGATACTGCTGAGTCGCCGAAAGAAACCGATACTCGCCTTATTGTCGATGCTCCGAGCGCCAAAGAGACGAGTGTGAAGGTGAGAACGGTCTTCAGGGTCGACATGTCTCGAAATGACAGCAACGCAACAGACGACGCCGCGCTGGCCGACATGGTCGATGTGACGCTCCCAGCAGAGCTACCAAAGCAAACCTCCTGCGACAGCTCATCAGCCCAAAGTCGCCGTCGTGGAGACATACGCCGATATTTCCAAAAGAACTCCGACCGGGAATTCCAAATTGCGTGTGATGAGACCGCAGCTGGACCGGCGACGGTCGAAGCGGAGTCACCCCATCGGTCAGGGCTGCAAGGCTCGACGACCAGACAACCTTTGCAGCCTCTGACACAATCGACACTGAATTGGATGCAGAGTGAACTGGATATACGGCGAGAATTCACTGAGCCTGACCCTGACGGACATCAGCTACATAGGGGGCATCAAATCGATTTCGGTGCAGATGATTCACCCAGATTAAACATTCCCGACTTGAACGAGCTTGTCGAGGGTGTTGGGCATGAGACTCCATCGATCAGTCCCCGGATTCGGCCCCAGCTTTCTGGCATTCGCTCGATCGTGGACAGCACTCCCTCTTCGCAACGGCCGGACAGACTTGGCATGTTGCTGACGCCACCCTCTGATGTTGCACGAGGTGGAAGTGGAAGTCGCCGTAACCCCCCCTTCAGATCGCATGCTCGATATGGTGTATCTGCACCAAGACCGCGCGAAGGTCACCGCAGCGGAATGCCGAGACCGGGGACTCGGGAGACTCAGTCTTCTCCTTCGCTTACACTCTCCACGTTGGCAGACAGGATGGGGGACACGCTGGCAAACGGCCCCAATTTCGGACATGGAGCGCCAGAGAGACCAGACATTGCAACCAGTCTCCTGAGTTTCATTGGAAATAACAGCCCGGCAGTGACTACCCAAGGCTAGGGGCCTGGGGGTAGTGGTCGTGGGTCTACCGGACAAGAACACCTGGAGGTACCGCGCCAGTCTAGACGTGCAACTACCGACGAAGCCTCAGTAGGTGCCTCGGAATCTGGAGCAGTCTACTCTCACTTGAGGCAGACACTTCTTATGAAAACACCCGAGCCAATGGCTGAGACGCAGCCACGTAGTCCCTCGCGAGAGGTGGTAGAGAGGGGAAACCAGGAATACAGCGACCACGGTCTCGCGACGCGGAAGAGCTCGGCAAGGACAGAGGATGGGGATCCCCGTCGATACTTTATGCGTCGACAACGGTCCCAGGCGGCTCATGGCCATCCAAGGAGGCTCTCCTCCAGAAGGCTACCCCTCGAAGCCGTGCCACACGACAAGGAAGTACACAGTATTGTGACAACAATCGACACTTTTGGCATGGGCCTTGCTCAGCAACTCGGGTTGGTGGCCGAGCTGGACAGGTACGTCTGCGACGGGACGCTGGCACGGGGGCTCCCTTTCGAAACCATGGCCCAGGCACAACTCGCAGAGGAACGATTACGTCTTGTAGTGGGAGTCTGGGCGGCGAGAAGTGGTGAGGACGCGGAAATCGAGTATACGATGCGGTCACAGGCAAAGGGGAAGGGGGTTGTGTGACAAGCGATGTTCACGACGGATCATGTGGCCTGAAAGGGCAGGCTCGGACAGGAGGATGGTCGGGCGTCGCTTTCGTCGCTCGTCTTGCTGTCCAAACAAGGACGCATACTTCGTAGCTTCAGTGGTGAAACGGACGGGTGCAGTTGCTCAAAGAGAGAACGACGGAAGCGTACTGCACTGTTGCGCGGGATGTTCATGTTTGTCTAGGCCCCCGCGGAATGATGAGTCCCTTTAGAGTTTACGGTCCAGCGATGCAAGGGTGTGACGACAGGCGAACGGGGGACGCACGGAGGCGCACGGCTTGGCGTCCCGAGAATGCACAGGGTGCCATGTGCTCGCGTGCCGCAGCAGGGAGACGGCGTCAGACGACGCACGGAGGGCGTCGGATCGCGATGACGGCAAGCGAGGGCAAACAGGGTTTCGAGGTGCCAACACAACACAGCGGCGGCCGAGCGAGCGAGTGACGGAGGCCAACAGCGAAGCGCAGCGCAGCGCAGGGCGCACGACTGGACCTGGCCCGGGACAAGCGGCGAATCGGACCTGGAGCGGGCGCCGGGCACGGCGAAGGGGGTCAGGTCGGGTGGGCGCCAAGTCCTGTAAGGCTCTTCGTATCCGCTGGAGCTTGGGCTGGTGATGGTGTGGGATGTGGATGGGAAACGGGGGGCGGCCAGCAGCGTTGTGTTCGGGCACTGCCGACTTTTGACGAGGATGTATTATACTCGTATGTAGTAACAAACCTGTTATGTGCGTCGTCCAGGCCCAGCAGTTGTCAAGTGGTTCCATGTCAGCTCGTCAATGCCTGCGGTACTGTGCATGAAAGAGCTTGGCCCCCGGCGTCTGCAGTGCATTTCTACGCCGAGGCTGAATCACCGGTAGCCCTTCCCTCCGTCCCTCCGGGGGGCTGGCTTATTGTCTTACTACTACCACGATCACCTGTGATGCGATGCGATGCCCTCCTTTTGTCTTTTGCTTTCTTTTGTTTCGCGCAGCCGCAATATCTGCAACACGGCATTTGCCCCAAAACATACATGGGCGGTCGGTGTGTGCTGAAATTAGAAACAAATGGCGGCTGTCTCTTATACACATCTAGATGTGTATAAGAGACAGGTGGGAGCGTGGCGCCTCGGGTTCTGTCTTTGACCTGCGCTGGGTAGAACGGGAGGGGAGTGGGACGGGGGGGGCCTTCGGGGCGCAGCGGCGCGGGTGGAGAGCGGGTTCATTGATGTCTTGAAACTTTCTCTATTCTCGGGTGGATGGATATTACTATACTGGTACAGTGGGAGAGCTCGAAGTAATAGGTAGGTTCACGCCAATCTCGCTCGGTCGGCTGCTGGGCGTGGGATGCGAAATTCGCTGTATTCCATGGGGGAAGGGGGGGCAGAGCGGACGCACGCACAGCGGAGATGGTATACGGACTGGACGGGGGATGGCTGGCTGGCGTGGGGTCGCGGCCGTCTTGATCTGACTGCGTACGTATTGCTACGAAGGTGCCAGGGTTGTTGTTGTTGTCCTTCATGCGCCTCCTGCTGGGGGGGGGCCGATGACGAGGCCTTGCAGCCAGCCCCCCGTAAAGGTAAGCACCTTTCTCGTACATCTACGTGCAAGCTTGAGCACGCACCCGAGCCATCGTGCACCCGAGAGAGTCCCCCATCTCGGCGGCGTGCTGGATCGGGAAAGGACAGCCAGGCGGGCGGGCCGGATGTCGGGACTGCCCAGGTCAGGCACCGCGACGACGACGACGACATCCATCAGTCCAGTCGGCGGGCGAGGACGCAGACGCGCGTGTTGCTGTTGGTCGCGCCGCCGGCCAGGTTGGGCGCGGGGTACAAGTGCGACGACGGAGGGGGGAGGAGGGAATGCGTGCGACCGTCATGTCGTGGAGGGGGAACTGACCGACCGACCGGTTGGCGTTGCGCAACGGCCTTGGGTGGTCTTCGCCCTCTGGTGGTGATGTCTGTTGCGACTGTCTCTTATACACATCTAGATGTGTATAAGAGACAGGGGTACAAGTGCGACGACGGAGGGGGGAGGAGGGAATGCGTGCGACCGTCATGTCGTGGAGGGGGAACTGACCGACCGACCGGTTGGCGTTGCGCAACGGCCTTGGGTGGTCTTCGCCCTCTGGTGGTGATGTCTGTTGCGATACGTGAAGTCGTGATGATGGTGGTGGTGATGATGATGAGGCGCGTGGTGATGCGAGTCGGACAGACAAGCTACCTACCTACCCAGGGCTCCACCACGTCATCTCCGTCAGAGGTAGCGGGAAGGAAGGGAACGGGAGGAAAGCTTCCATTCAGGTACGAGCACGCACGGGCGCGCGCGCCGGCCGCGACGACGACGGGAGCCGTCATGCTACCCTTGGATGCTTGGCTGATGTCCCGCAAGGGGGGAGAGCGTTTCCGTTCAGGTGAGGCACAGCGCGGTGCTGACGGACCGACGTGCCTTATTACGGACCCTGGGTTTCAGTGCAGGCAGCCTAATGCGGCACAGGCGCGCTGCTCTCCGTTTCGGCGGGACGGCAGGTGCCTTTTTCAGGCACGCCGTGACTGACTGACCCAGTTTGGGGTGCGAACCTTGGTCTGGGAAAACCGTCCAACGGGCGCTGCGGTGGTGGAGCTGCAGGACTGCCTGCCCAGGCGTAGGTGGCTTGCCTGCCCTGCCTGCGCCGTTTCGTTGTCGTCGTTGCCCGCCGGAGGCTCTTTGTTGTAGGGGGGTGGCCGTTGGTTCACGCTGGCGCTAAGAGCCGGCTTTGAGGCGGTGCACAGCCCCAGCCCTCGGGCGACAGCCGCTGCTGGAGAGGTTGGCTTGGGCTGGGCATAGAACCTCCGTGAAAAGGGGGCCATGGGCTGGGTGGTTGCCCCCCAATGCAAACTTGGAAGTGTCCAAGCCCGTCCGTTCGGCTATGGCGCATCTACAGCGCCCGAGCTCCCAATCCACCAAGCGCAGCGCCAGAGCCGGCGCCGGCGCCAGCACCAGCACCAGCGCCAGCACGGGCTTGACGTCGTGTCGTGGCGGGGACGCACCGCGGGCGGGGACTCATGATCTGAGGTCCTCGTGGTCTTGGTCCTTGGAGTGGTCCCCCTCCCAGCCTTGGAGTCCTGTCCCCAGCACCAGGCCCAGCACCAGGCCCCGGGGTTGCTCAGCCACCGCCGCCGCCGCGCCGGGCCAGCGATCCATTACGGAGCTGATGAGCTGGGACCCGAGGCCCTCCCGCCGGGCTGGGTGGTGCTGTGCCCCCCCCAGTGGGCTGTGAGATCTACGTTACCTGCCCGTACGGACGTACCCCGTACGGTGCCCTGCGTGCCGTGCTGTGCTGGCCTGTCCTGCGGAGGGCCACCAGGTGGCCTCATCGTCCTGGGCAGCGATCCAATCCTGCGCTACCGTCCGTTCCATCTCGCGCGCAGAGGCAGCCCAGGGCAGCCAGCCCGTCACTCACTCACTCACTCCCGTCCGTAGGTCGCTGGTGGTCGTGGTCGTGGTGGCAGGTGGCCCGGGAGCCTGCCCGTCTGAGCAAAGGCCTGGGAAACCTGAAAAGAGTGCTTCTTCTTCAGCGAGATTCAGGGCGCGTAGCATCTACTCAGTGATAAATTACAGCTGACGTGACGTCTGCTGCTCCCACCGACCTTGCCTACGTAACTGCTGCCTCGTAGTTACCTGCCCACCACCATCGCCGCCGCCGCCGCCGCTTGCCTGCCCGCGCTGCGCGCTAGATTATCCTGCCCGTTACCCGTTTCTATTCGCGCCTGCCCAAAATCCCATGCCCGCTCCACCCCAGCAGTAGCAGCTCCTCCACCGTCAGTCTGCCCATCCCGTCCCATCCACCCCATCTTCTGATTTCTGCTCTCGCCCCCCCCAGTTCTCTCGTATTGCCGTCTCCCGACAGTTTTTTTTTTTTCTGTCCAGCCTCCCGTTTCGGGCCTCTCGTCCGTATCTTTGTCTTCTTCTTCTCTCGCTTCACCCGGTGGTGTCCCTCGTTTGCCCTTTCTCCTCACCAAACCCCCCAAACCCCCCAAACCATTCGTCTCTCCGAAACCTTGACGTACTAGCCCGCCAACGGTCCTGGATCGCCAACAGCGTCTTTGAACCCCCCCGTCTTCCCCCCGCGCCCAAGATGCGCCGCTGAGGAAGGCTGCACCGGCCGAAGATGCGTCTAAGCTGGGCTGCCGAGCCCCATCGCCTCGACGACGACTCCGACGACGGCGACGACGCTGGCTACCGTTGCCGCTCCCACTATCGCTGCTGCGACGGCCGTGATGGCTCTGGCCACGACCGGCATCGACAACCGCCGCCGTTGCACGAGCCATGCGGCGGCAACGCTGCGACACTTTTGCCGGCTGGCGTAGCGCCCTCACAGCTTGAGAAGCAGGAGAGACATCAGTCGCTCGCGGGGACCCACGATGTGTTTAAGAGACGGCCTGGTCGGCGGAGGGGGAGGAGGAGGACGTGGGCCGATTCTCTGCCCAGCTCGTTGCGCCCGGCGCCCATGACGCTGCTCGCAACCATGCTGCTCCTCGTCCTTTTCGTCGCCTCTCCAGCTGACGCTGTTCGGGTCAATGTCACCAACTGCCTTTCCGAAGACTATCTCTCCGCCGCCTCTCCCCGCCTGCAGTGGGAGCCCTTGTTTGCCGAAGCAAAGTTCGACACCAAGAACAGCACGCACAACCTTCAACTGACCGTATGGGGCAACGTCACCGGCAAGCAGTATCAGGACAACCTGCCGCCACCCGACTCCGAGTATTGGACTAATCCCGACCCTGCGAATAATAATGGCAAGATTGTCGAAACGGTGGACGGCGGCAAGGCCACTACGCTGGTCCAGCGGGTCAATGTCTTGACGTACGAGCCGTGGAACCATCTGAGCAGCTTCTGCAAGGACGCCCTCATCAACGGCTCGTGCCCGCTGTCGCCCGTCTTCCACCCGAAACCGTACGCACCGAACCCAATGCTCCCCTGCCGTTCATGTGAATACAGACGCTGACCAGGTCCGACTCTACAGTGAATACCCTTATGGCTTGCCCGCGATTAACATGAGCCACGACTTCCACTCCGAGTACACCTTCGCCTCCTTTGCCGCTACCATGATCATCATCAATGGCGACACAACAGCGCTCAACATTGGCTGCATGTCTGTCACAATCACACCCGACCTCGGTGGCGTCGCCTGGGTCCTCAAGTTCCTTCCGCTCGTTATCCTACTCTTTTGCGGCTTTGCAGTCGTCTTTGCCGCCGTCTATAGCCCCTGGGGCACCACCAACATCTTCCACTGGTCCTCCAACTACGGTCGAGACGCTGATCTCTTGAGGCTTGTCACCCCCGGCTTTGGCGACTGTCTCCAGTACATTCAATTCATCGCCTTGACGGGCGCCCTATCCCTCGACTATCCGGGCTACTACCAGCCTGCCGTCAGCCAGGTGGGGTGGTCTGCGCTCATGTTCAACGAGAGCCTCGTCTCGCATTCCCCACCCTGGCAGAGCGTTGTCGACGGCATTTACGTGACCAACGCCACCGATGGATACGGGCTCCACGAGCTGGGGCAGCTGATCGGTATGGCGGAGAGCACGGACATTTGGGCCGGCATGATGGCCTGGCTCTGCGTCATCATTGTCGGCGTCTTCGTGCTCTTCCAGGCCGGCTTCTTGGTCCAGTGGGTGTGGCGCAGGATCAATAACATATCCGAGGAGGACCTGCGGGCCAAGAACATACCCTTTAGCATCGGCAACGTGGTGCGCATCGTGTTTAACTACATGCTGATGCCCATTGTGGCGCTCTCGACCTTTCAGCTCGTCATCGCAGGCAACTCGCCGCCATACACCGTTGCCTTGGCCGTCGTGACCCTGGTCCTGCTGCTGGGCTGTGCGATTTGGATCCTCTTGATCATTCTCAGGACGCGGCCCAAGTCGGTTCTGTTCGACGACCTGCCTACGGTGCTGCGGTATGGTCCGCTATACAACACTTACTCGGACGAGGTTGCTGCATTTGCGCTGATTCCGGCCATGCTCAACTTCATCCGCGGCATCGCCATCGGGGCTGTCCAGCCGAGCGGCGTTGCTCAAGTTGTGCTGCTGGCCATCTGCGAGGTCATTCAGATATTCACCCTTCATGCCTTCCGTCCTTTCAACCGGCCTACTTCGATGAACGCCTACCACACTCTCTTCGCCTCGCTACGTGCTGTCACCATCATGCTCATGGTCGCTTTCGTCCCGAGCCTTGGCGTCACGGAGGGCCCTAAGGGGTGGATTGGATACGCGATATTGCTGATCCATGCGGCTGTGCTGATTTTCGCCTTCTTCCTGGGCGCATTGCAGACAGTCGTGGAAGTGGTGGCGCGGATGCTCGGGGCGGGTGGCGACGACGTGACGGGTCTCACGCGAGGTGGACTGTCCAAGATCTTTGGCATGCGGCAGCTGTCACGGCGGGAGACGAGCCGCACCCGCGCCGGCCCATCCCGAGCAAGCCAGCTGTCCACCGCAGCCATGCTGGATGCAGAGGAGGGCGGCAGAGTGGGCTACGTGATGCCCAGCGGTAGAGTTCGCTCTGGATCCGGCGCCAGTCTCGGCGGAATGGGCGGCCGCCACCGACATAGGAGCAGCTCCGCGCTCGACAGCATCGACATGTACTCGGGCAGCCCACGCCATGTGGACACGGGTAGCTCATACATACCCGGGACTCCAGGCGAGACTAGCACGTTCTCCTTCGTCGCGGGACCGAACCTGGCGCGGCAACCGGTGCCAGCCGGCACGGAGGCGACTGATCCTTACTATCGACCACCCCGTCGCACTCGGCGAGACACGCTGAGGGAATCAACATACTCTGACAAGGCACCGGAGCTGCTCGATCCCAAAAAGGCCGCTCAAGCTGCCACTGCGTCTGGCGACGTAACTGAGACAGGGGAGGAGATATCACGGGCCGCGACCCCGGCACCGCCCAACCCGACCATGAACCTACCCGCAAACCGGCCAGACTATGCCACACGCGAGGTGGATTTCTACTATGGGGTTAGAGGGCCCGCCCTTAACTCGGAAGGTCCCGGTAGGAAACTAGGGACTGGACCTGCCGACCCCACGGGACCCGTGGCCACCGCGACGGGCTGGTTCCGGAACATGTTTAGCGGCAAAACAAAGGAGAAAGGCAAGGGCTTCGAGGTGGTGCGTAGCAAGCGCATGCCTGCGTCCATGGTGCGGAACGGCGGCTTCGGTGACGAGACGCCACCGGAGGGCATTCCCGTGGCGATGGGAGTGTTGAGGAACGGCCCGATCGAGTCAGATGACGACGAACCGAAAGCCAAGAACTCGCCGAAACGGTCACCTAAGCGGCCTGGGGATCTCCTGACGGATAGCGGAGATCCTCAACTCTCTGACCCTGATGAGCCCGTGAGCCCAGTTGAGGAGAGGCAGGGCAGGAGCCAGCAGCCTGCGGCTGATGCTAGCCGCGTCAGCTCTCTCGATGAGGACGATCTTGCGCTACCAGCGATCCCCCGAAAAAGTTCTAAGCGCAATTCGGGGTCCGTCGATCGCCATCGTCTGTCGGCACTCAGCCTCGTGGAGTCTGTGCCGCACGGGGAGACTGCATCGCACGCAGCGTCGGACAACGACCCAGAGCCCGAGTCTGTTGGCTCTGCACGGGCGTATAGGCTGGCCCCTCTCCCATTTGAGCGCACGACGTCTCAGAGGCGACCGTCGTCGAATTCCTCGTTGGAGTTTTCGAGCGCGTTTGTCGATGTCGACCTACAAGGCCGACAGGATGAGAGGCCAGCAAGTCTGGGGACCGTTCCCCATCACGAGATCAGTAGGCATGATCCCCAGCCTGCATCGACCAACCTTGCAAGCTCGGCTGAGCTCGTGAACGACAGTGCCTCCTCGAGGCGGCGAAGTTGAGCAGGCGTTGCTTCTACGTCGAAGCCCGGCAACAGAATTGACACTCACAGGTGTCACTACACCACATATAATCGATGACGAGAAATTATCACGAACACTCCGGCATAGTGATGGCGGTGCACCTCTCTGTGTGCCGTCGATATCACAACACAACATCGCATCAGTAACTCGCTCTGTGGAAAGAATCCCGACGGATGAGCTCAAGCGTTGATTTTACCTGTTCTTGCATGTCTTTGCTGTTTTCATTGAACCCTCTCTCAGATTGGTCTCCTACTGTCGGTTTGGGAACGAGGGCGTACAAAAATAATACGGAGAGGTATTGCGTCCCTCTGGCATGCACTTGGGCAACGGATACCTGGGAGGGAGAGGGCGGGCAGCCCGTCTCTTATGAATGGCGAGAGCGCCCCATGGCACTTTGGATATACATTTTTACATACACTGGTATGTGGAACGGCCGGCAGCCGTAATTCGCACATGGATGAGCGCGCGAAGAGCGGGCGAGGTTGGCCTCTAGGGCCCATGGGAACACTTTTTCAGCGACGTTGATGCAAGGCATGCAGATATCGCTTGCAAATGATTGCCTCTTTGTACTGAGACTATGCGAACCACTCGCCTCGTGCTTTAATCGCATTGTGTTTCGTCTAGAACGCCATACTTGTCCATGCCTGACCAGCGGATGCACGATACGAAGTGCACACCGCCCGAGCAAGACATGTGCACACATCCCAAGGTAGGCTGACAGAATCTTGAGGTGTTTGCCAAAGTACTGCCTTGTTCAGTGTGTGGCTGTGAAGGGTTTGTGCGTGTAGATTCTGGCCATGCTATACTCGGCCACGCCTGAATGTCAGGGTATCTAGCGGTACTATCATCTTCAACGACACGCACACCAACTAACCCGCCGCCTCACGCGATGGCCCCGCGTGACAAACGCCGTGCGCCCCTGTCCCTATTTGGCTTGCCCCCTACTCTATTTGACGCCGACGAAGCCAATGCCGGACCGCGCCTCCTGGACGGCCTTGCGAAGCAGCTGGTCCTCCGTGTCGGTCCACTGGACGCTCAGCTGGTCCCACTTGACGCCCGAGTTGTACTCCTTGCGCCACTGGCCCTGCATCTGCTGCAGGCGGGCCATCTCGCGGGGGTCGCCCGAGCCCGAGTAGACGATGAGCCCCGTGCACGGGGGCAGGGCCTCGTATATGCGGCCGAGCCGGTCCATGAGCCTCACGAGCGCCTTTTCGAGCGGCGAGCTGGCCTCGTCGGCGCCGTCGTCCAGTATTTCCTTGAGGGCCTCCTCGTCGGGCGGGCCGCCGTCCGTGCTGGTGCTCTCGAGCTTGTTGCGGTTCCACCACCCGCGGAGGACCTCGAGCTCGCGCATGCGGCCCCATACAAAGTCGGCGCCGCCGCCCCTGACCTCCTTGCCGTCGGGGTCGCCCTTGACGGCGCGGATGATGTTCGTCGTTACCTCCTCGTCGGACTGGCATCCGAACGCGTGCGTGGCTCCGGCTCCCGGACCCTTAAGGGGATTGCCCCAGTCCACTGCAGCGCTCGTCTTGCCAGACTCGACGCCGCCGGTTGCTCCGTCGCCGCCTTGGGCCTTGTACGTCGTGCCCACTCTCGCCAGCCTGCGGAAGAGGTTCTCGCCCTGGTTCTCGTTAACCCCCCAGAGCTTTCCCTTTGCGCACTTCTGGGAGACGAGGTCTAGGCACGTCTTGGCATCCTCTATGCTGTCGTGGCCGAGGGTGGAGCCCTTTTGGACCTCTCGGTTGAGGTACTTTTGGGCGAGAAACTTGAGGGACTGCTTCAGCGGCGGGCCGCGGGGATGGGGGTAGAGGAGGGAGGTGTCGACGATGAAGGGGTGCGACAGCTTGATGGCCTTGGTGTCGGATTCGAGGGAATGGCCCACGAGGATGGTGTGAGGGTGGAGGATCTTGATCAGCTTTTGCTGGATGTCGCGCAGTGATGTCGTGACCGGTGCAAGCATCTCCTCCGTGATTCCAGAGAAGCGTGTGACGTAGTCAGTGATGGGCTTGTCGGGCTTGACGAGCTCGTCCAAGACGACACTGCCGTCGGAGTAGTCAACGAGGCTGATGCGCGTCAGGGAGAATTCATTCTCGCCCGTCATGCACATTTCGCAATCGAGGCCCAGGACAGTCCGGCCAGCCAGGACGGATCCCTTCTCAATGTCCTTGTCGGGAACATCGCCGTCCTCGAGCTTGTCGACCTCGGTGAGGACCCAGCCCTCGGGGAGGACAAAGTTCTTGCGGGCCTCCTCCGAGAGCAGGGCGGGGTGGACGACGAAGCCATTGTCCTTGAGCTCGTCCGCAGAAGCGAGAAACTCAGTGATTGGCGTCCTCTCATCTTTCCAACCCTGAGGGGTCGCGTATGGCTTTGGTCCGGTCTTGTTGGAAGACCCCTTGTCCTTGGGCGCAGGAGCAGTGAGGAAGGCAGCCAAAGGCGAGTGCATCTTGCCGTGCTTGTCATCGCCGGGGGTTCGAACGGGCCACAGGTGTGGAAACATATCAGCGAAGGGCTGCAGGGCCCGAGGCAGCTTGTCCTTGGATAGCGTACGGGGATAGTAGTCGTCGGGCGATGTGGCGATACGTGGCTCCTTGGACTTGACGGCGTCATCGAAGGTCGCAAAGTCGACATTCGCCTTGAACATGGCCTCCTCGAGGCCCGGGATCATGATGGCGACAATCTTCCGGAAGTGCGGCCGGTGGGAGACGGCGATCCACTGGGGAGCTGGGCCATCGGCATAGATGTAGAGGACGAGGTCGCGGAGCTGGCCGAGGTTGACCTTGGAGTTGAGGCGAGCACTCGACGAGAAATTCAGGGCGGGATAGCTCTTGCCCGGGCGCGGGACCTTCTTTTGCTTTTTGTTCGGGCGGGTGACGGTCTGCCACTCGCCGCCCTGGTCGACACCGTCGTCGTGGGGGCTCGCCCTCTTGAGGCTGCTCTCGCTAGAGGCATCATCCGGGACTGATCTCTTCATGCTAGCGTCGTCGTTTTCTGGGCCCTCAGCTCCAGGCGGGTCGCCTTGGGAGTTGGAGCGATCTCGGGCGGTGCCTGGCTCGGGTGAGGCGCCGAAGAGGTGACGGGCGAATTGTTTGACGCGCTGGAACTGTTGTCTGAAGTCCGCTACCATAGCGCGAGCCAAGCAGGGAGACTGTTCGCGACGGTAATTTCGGCCAGAATCGCAACAAGAAGCTAGCAGGGCAGACGGAGGCGAAGAAGACGTCGGACTGCAGCTCGCCTTGGGCCCCAGTGGATTGAAGACGGAGGTTGAGGCCGGGGTTTGGGCGGCTCGATATTTCAGTGAGCTTGCCGCGACCGAAGGCAATGCGGTCGCGAAAAAAGAGTCAGGGGACGCCAGTCGATAAGATAAGCCAGGGCGGAAGGAGCGAGCAACCAACGCATTGTCCCGGCAGGTGGGGCGGCCGGCGCCACGATTCGCCAATGGCGTCCGCTGTCCCCAGGCCGGCCCCTAACTGGATCGCGCGACTGCATCCCACTTTACGCGGGTGCGACGCGACTCCATCGGTACTTCGTCCTTGGACCTCCCCAACGACGGGCGTCAGCTTGCCCGCCATGGACTTTGTCGCCGTCAAGTGCGCCAAATGCGATGCGAAGCTGGGCTCGCTGCCCAATACGTGGGTGCAGATTGGCAAAAAGTATCTCACGCCTGCGACGAGTCCAGGCGCAGACGACCCGCTGCTTGCGGTCAACATCACCACTTCGGGCACCCCGCGTTTAGGCGATGCAGATACCCTCGTGGGCGGCTGGTGAGCGATGGCTCTACATGCATCTCATGAAGAAAGCTATGCTAACTGCTATGCAGCCAACTTCAAGAAGCGGAATGCGCCAAGTGCCGCACCAACATTGGGCAGAAGTGCCTCCGTACGCCGGTGAACCACGTCCTGCATGAGTGAGGACACCCCGGTCAGGACTTTGTCTTTTGACATATCTAATCCGTCGTTGAACCAAAAGTGGCCAGTTTATCCTTAGAATCGCTTCTATTGTTCTCAAATCAGCAACGGATTTGCGCCGCAGAGCCGAGCCCAAGATACAGCGAACGCTCAAGCTCAAGAATGGCCCTCCCGCGAACGACCACCCTAGCACCCCGATGCAGGAGACGCCGTCCTTCAAAACCTTCAATGCCGGTGCAGGCGTGCCCCATGGCCTGGACCTGATGCAGCTCCAGGCCACGCTCGACGCTCAGCGGCAAGACATCAACCGGATCGGCGCCACGGGCATGCAGGTCGTCACCAACTTTGAGACGGCAATCGCCAAGGTGGATCGCCAGATGCAGCAGCTGAGCGAATCAATCGACAGCGTTCGCAGAGACGGCAATGGCCATCGCGACGACATCAGCGGCTTCAAGTCAGACCTCTCCGACCTCAAGTGGGACTGCCAAAACAGCGGCTCGGTCCTCTCAAGGCTTGATCAGCAGCTTCAAACTACGGATAGGGTCGTAACGGAGCTTCGACAAGCACTCTCCAAATGCAAGTCTGACACGCAGGACGTGCGGGACCAACTTGCATCAACGCAGCAGGAGCTCCAAGACGTTGGGAGCCTGCAAGACCAGCTTGCCTCGGTGCAACAGGATCTTCAGGGGGTTGAGAGTCTGCGCGAGCAACTGGTATCTACACAGCAAGACCTCCAAGAGTCGAGGGAGGAGGTGGACCAGCTCCGAAACGATGCACAAGACGCCAAGCACGAGCTACGCGAGTCAAAGGACGAGGTCAACCGGCTCAGGAGTGAGGTTGATGAGACGAAGCAGGCTGCCCTAGAAGGTATCGCAACATCCAAAGAATATGCTTCAGAAGTCTCCTCGCTGAGGCGAGAGATTAAGCAACTCCGCGCCGACTTGGCGCGGGACCGAGCCCACCCTCCTCCACCCTCCCAGTCCGAGACGTCCTCCTTCTCCTCACACGAGCTCGACATCCTCACTAGCAGCATATCCAAGATTGGAAACCGCGCCAGCCAGATCGAATCGCTGCAGATGGAGTTTGATCTCTTCAGGACCCGGATACAGCGCCTCGAAGCCCGGTCCACCATGTCCTCGGCCACCCCAAATCGAGGGAACACCACGGTGGGCACCGATGCAAGTCCTGGCCGCGACGACGAGAACCTGCAGTCTTTTTACGCAGATAATCCGCGCAAGAAACGCGCGCCGGCGGGCAGGATTGACACGCAGGACTTTGATACAACGCCGCCGAAGCGCATGGCGCTGTCGTCTTCCGAATTTGGCAGCGGCGTCTCTGCCGCGCACGCTCGTTCCAGCGACCTGTACCGCTCGTCGCCGGCCGCTCGTGGTCTCGCCGAGCCAGCCGGGCCCAGGCGTACGCGGGCTGCGGCCAGCCTCAACGGCACGACAAAGAGAGGGCGCTGGACGGCGAGGGGCTGAACCCGTCTGTAGCGATCTTTCTCATGTTCCTTGAAGTCAACATGACGTTCAAAACACGATTCCAAAGTCCATTTTTAGAGCCGCAGTGCCCAGGCTGGCGAGGGCATTCACCTGCTGCACCACAGCATAGTCGAAGAACGACTTGGAAGTCTCGGTCGCCGGGTCCTTGATCCAGGCATTGATGAGCGAAAGCTCCTTTTCCCGTCCCGGCAGCTGCTCAATGTCTTCGAGCAGCTCTCGGGCGGGCTGCACGAGATCCCACTCGTTAGAAACACCGCTGGGGGCGGCGCGAAGGACCATGACCAGCAGCATCTGGCACAGGGCCACCTGGTCAATCTCCTGAAGCTTGATTTGAGCCTCCTGGTCCATGTTGGCCCTCATCGGCGGCGACATGACTGAGCTGCTGAGGGAGGCGCTCTTCTCGGCGGTGTGGGCCAGAAGTTTGGCAATCATAAAGAGGTTCTTGACCCTGACGGGGTGAAACCACGCCACATATCGGTACGGGTCGGCTCTGGTTGCGATAAGACACGCCACGGCCAGCGCAAAGGCGAAATTGCGCTTCTCGGCGTAGTATATGGATATCTCGGTCAACACCTGAGGTACAGGCGTGACGGCCCACAACTCGCCTCCGACAAGACCCCTGCAGTCGCTGTACTGAGCGCGGAGCTGGAGGCGACGGCTAGGTGCCATGTCGGGCTTGGACCAGTCCTCGATCAGTCTGGTGGCGGACTCGCCGTTGGACTTTGCCAGCGCGACCGTCGCCTCGTCGATGACGGCAGAGTGATGCTGAGCGGTGGAGGAAGCGTCGGGAGCCAGGCTGGTGCCGGGCGGAGCGGCCACGGGTGTGGTGGCGCACACTTGGTAGACATTGAGGTTGTCTTTGCAGCGAGGGCAGCGGCACTCGAAGCAATACTGGGCGAGGGCCTCCTTTCGCATGGTGTAGGGGTATGTGTAGTCTGAGAGGGTTTGGTTAGAGGACGTGACGGCCGAGGGGCAGTTCCAGGGGTCCTGTCTACATACCCGTGTAAGAAATCTCAATCTCATCGCCAGCCTCGATGCTGCGCTCCGCTCTCAAGACTGCAGTCCGCCCGATGAACTGGACCATGGCGTTGGGGACACACGAGTGATTGGCCATGGCGAGGGTCGGCTCGAGGAAGAGACCGACCTGGCCGAGATCTGCGTCGAACCTGTGAAAGGCATTTGTCTGGATCTGCGTTGCGTGTCTCATGTCAGCACAACTCTCCGAGCCGTCACAACCTAGCTATCATCACCGGCGCCTCATATCATGCCGCCACGAGAAGGTCCACACAAACTCACCTTGCACAATAGGTCGACAGCGCGGCGCACCTCCTTCTCGTTGACAGGCTTGCCGGCAAAGGCGCACGCGGCCATGGCCATGATCTCCATCTCGCGCCACTCGGCGGCGCCGCTCTGCTCACGGCGGCGGGCGGCGTGGCCCTCGAGCCCGTCCAGCGCGTCGGCGAGGTCCTCGCGCAGCAGGGCCTGGACGAGGGCGCGGGCGGGCGTGGGCAGCTCGGCGCCAGAGCGGCCGGCGACCTTTTCGCCGGCGCTGGGCCTCCTCCTGGCGGCGCCGCCGGAGGAGGAGGATGCGGACGCGGAGGAGGACGAGGGGGCGTCGTCGAGGGTGTCATTGCTGTCGTCGTCGTTGCTCCGGGATGATGCCCCGGGGGTCTGCTTCTGCTTCTGCTTCTGCTGAGACTTGGATGACTGCGACTGCGACTGCGACTGCGACGCGGACTGAGGCTGCGGCTCCCCCTGACGCCGGCGCAAGGCCTTGCACTCGCGGGCGTGGCCGGCAGCCCACGCGCCGGCCTGGCAGGCGGCGTCGCAGTAGTAGGCGGCGCGGCAGCGGGTGCATGCGCGGGGGTTGCCCGGGCGGAGGCAGTGGGCGCAGACGAGGGCGAGGTGCGGCAGCGAGGGGATGAGGAGGGCGGGCGCGGCGAAGACGTGGACGGCGGCACCGGGGGGGAAGGCGGCGGCGGCGTGCAGGGCGCGGCCCTTGGTCGGATGGGGGCGGACCTCGAAGGCCGGGGGCTGTGGTGGTGTTGACGGCTGTCGTTGCGCCATGATGATGAACTGCTCTCTCCTTCTCCTCCGTCTTCAAGCTCCGGCTACTGCTTCGCCTAGTCGTGCTGGTTCTGCGTCTGCTTCTGCTTCTGCCGCTGCTGCTGCTGCTGCTGCTTCGTCGGCGACGCAAAGGTCGTTGGCATGCAGGCGGGAGGCGACAAGACAAGGATGGATGGATGAGATGGATGGACGTCCGGGGATGCGACGCGGGATGTCAAAAGTAAAAAAGCATGTTTGGCTGGCTGTACGTAGGCAGGTCCGCCGCGGGTCCGCGGCCGGCAGACAGACACACAGACAGAGCTGGACCTCAGAAGCCAGCCAGCCAGTGGAGCCACCTACCGAAAAGCCGAAGGAGAAGAGCAAAATGTGGAGTGTGGAGTGCCGAATGGGATTGTCGTCGGCCGGGGCCGTGGCGTCAAAGGTGGGCGCCCGAGCCCCGAGTGACCTGCGAAACCCGGTCTCTCCCTCTCTCTCCCCCCTCTCTCGTCGTCGCTACTGGTAACTAACTAGAACTGGAGACTGATGGCGAGGGGGTGGGCAATGCGTCGCTCATTCTTCGAGGGATGGGGAACTCTCGGCTGATTTGGATTTTTGAGTTGCAAGAGAGAGGGACGACACGGCTGAATTGCCCAACGCCCTGTTTGACTCCACTCCACCACCACCACCTGCCTGCACCACCTGCAACTACCGGCTATCCCGCCTGGCTGGTTGACGGCTACGTAGTTAGTTAAGTTAGTTAGTATTCTGATTACATACGAGAACCCCGAATAACCTACCGTGCGCGCCCACCCTCAATGCCGAAAAGACTCCACGGTGATCCGTCCGGGGTTATCCATGGGAGGCCCTGTCAACTCACGGCGGGGTCAACAGGGTCCCTGCCGAGGTTATCAAGACGCATGTTGTAGTCCCCTGGTCTGTCGAAATGACGGTGCCAAAAGAGCTGCGTTGAAAAGGCAACATTGGATAGAAATGACAAGACCGCAAACGCCCGGGTATTAGTTTTACCAACTCTAATAGTATACAGAAAGACGCGCCGATGCGGAGCGTCCGCTGGGCCTCCCTACAGCTCCTCGTGGCGCCGCGGGGAGGCGCTCGCCCGTTTCCTCGCCGCCGTGAGCCGGTCGTGGAGGTCCCTGCTCCAGTGGTTCTTGTTCCCCTTGTTGGCCTTCATGATGCGCGCGACGCGGTAGTCCCAGCACCCCTCGCCGCCGCCCATGCCGCTGTCGCGGCACTGCTCGTCGGCCAGCCTCGGGCCCAGCGGCCACTGGCCCAGCTCGGCGCCCATGTCCTCGTCGAGAAAGTTGTCGAGCGCCAGCTGCCCGGCCTTGCGCTGCGCCGCCGCCCACTCGACCTCTTCGGGAACCAGCACCTCGAGGAGCCCTTCCATGCCGCCCTTGGTGAGGAAGTCCTTCCTGACGGCGGCGTCCTTGATGAGGCCGTTGACGACCGAGACCTTGGCCTTGGCGCGCGCCGCCGATTGCTTCGCACCGGAGGCGTCGGCGTTGCGGGACGGGACGAAGCTCCTGTAAATGGCCTCGCCGAGAGTCTTGTCCGCGCCGGGGCACTTGCCGCCCGTGAGCTTCGCCCAGTCCTTGGTCACCTGCGTCAGGGCCGGGGGGTTGTTTTGCAGCGCGCTGGCCAGGATGGACGCGGCCTGCTGGTCGCGCGGGGTGAAGCGCGGGTCGACCGAAGGCACCTCGCTCGTCATGAGGCAGAACAGGGACTTGACGACGTCAGGATCCTCCGCGATCTTGAGCCCGTAGTATATGTCGTGAGACAGGTCCTCGAGACCCTCCAGCGCCTCGTCAAAGGCTTGGCCGTTTGATGCGACACCATCCTTGAGCATCTTCATGCCCCCGGCGAACCCCTCGGCTTCGTGCTTGGGCTCCTTGACTTTACCCACGGGCTCGTACCGCGGTGCGTTATGGGGAATCTTGGGAGCAGCGTAGTCTGCTGACTGGTCCGGGTCGACCACCACGACGGCCTGGTCGACGGGTAGCCCCTCCAACGAGGGGTCTCCTTCGCCAGGGACGTTGATCTTGGCCTCTTTCTTGCCCGTCCAGATGTTGAGCCTCACATGGAGGCCATTGGGCAACTCCTGGTCGTCGTGAACCGTCTGGAACTCATCCGTGGGCTGGAAGACGCGCGGATAGCAGTCTTTGAGGTCTGAAGTGTGGCATATGAGTTCTGCCTGCTCTTGTGATTTGGCAGATGGACGCGGTTCTGAGGCGGCATGGGCGGGCGCAACGGCCACGCATAGGATGAGGGCCAGCACCACGGCCAGCAGGGGGACAAGCTTCCATCGCGGCGGTGATCTCGCCATGATCGCTCTCTGTCCCTGTTCCGTTGTGCAAGGTTGTCACGCCAGCTGAATAGGCTCGGTGGGTGAGGACAGCCAGTCTCTGGTATGTGACGACTGGTGAGACGGCGATGCTACCCACGGACAGCGAACCTTGAACGGCTAGCTACCAGGGCGGCGTGAGACGAGAAAAAATGAGCGCAAAGACAGCCAAGAACTGTCCAACTAAAAAACCTCAAAATGAATGTACACAAGAAGAGCGCACCAATTTAAAGCAGAGCGTGGCGTGGTGAGAATGAATGAGTCAAGGGCAGAAGAGGACAGTTCACAACGCCGTTGAATGTGGATAACGTTCGAAGTCGCCAGAACCACCACCACCACATCCAACAGGTTGGCAATATTGGGGGGGTGGTGGCCACTGAACTTGGCAACTCGCCATTGGCTGGTGGGCCGCTTAGTCATTAGTCATTTTGACTTACACGGGCAGGCGGCGAGTCTCGGCAGGCGCAAAGAGGTCGCGGCTGCCTTCTTTGACATCTGAGGTGAATGTGCGAATATTGCCTTGCTTGACTGAGGGATCGGTTGTAGCGTCTGCTGACTCTCAATCAATACGATCCCGGGTTGAAGCGGCTGACCGCAACACCACGGGTGGGTTCGTGTCAGGTAATGCTGGAGTTCATGGCGCGGACCGCATTTGCGGGCGGGGCTGGGGCACCGACCTCGAACCCAGCAGACATGGGGCACGCGACAGCGAGGTTACATGCAACAATGGCGGGAGATCCAGCCTCCATTCCAAAGACATCTCGTCCCACGGTTTCGTCAAGTCATTCAGCGTCGGGGCTGGTCGTCTTTGCGTCGCAGATATAAGGCAGCTTCCCGCAGCGATGAGCTCTAACGCGGCAGCCATGTCCCAGGCTGACGGCCACTCGCCCAACCAAAGGGAGCAGCAAGTAACATATTCTTACAGCTCCTCTGTCTTTGTCCTTGAATTACAAGAACCATGCTCTCGTACCTTGTTCTTCTCGCCGCGCTGGCCGCACGCTGCCTCTTCGCCGCCCCCGCGAGCCACTCCCACCGCTCCCACCGCAGCCTGCACTCGCCCTCGACGCCAAGTGTAAAGGCGCCGCCCGCCGCCGCCCACATGGTAGACGAGCCCATCGGCGTGATACTCCCGCGGCACGAACACCACGACGACGGCATTGAGCTGGACTCTTCGCTTGCGCGGCCGCTGTGAGCGCGCGCGGAGGCGTCACCGGGCGATGCGAAACTCACCACGATTAGAGACGATGGCAGCAGCGGATCTGCGGCCCGCTTGCGACTGCGGCTGGTCGAGCGGTTCCTCGGACGGTTTCAGGTAAAGACGGCGAGGGGAGGATTGGGGGGCGCACGGAAGATGGACGACTTGAGACGACTTTATGGCCGACATGCTTGAAGATACGTTTTGCGTTGCTGTGTTTTTTGGTTCTACTTTTAGCACTGGGCGTTTTGCGATGTGGCAGTGCGCCGTACTACTAGACTCACTCACGTACGGGGTTCCTGCTGCCAATTACCTACCTATAGAGCATCACGGGTATGGGCTGGATCCTTGCTCGCTTCATAGTTCAATCAATCAATATCAGGGTTCACCCCATGCGTACCTGAATTTGGATTTATTCGCCGTAATACTGGCGCTGCCACCTCGCCGGTACAATTAACTTAGTATGTATTAATATGTAGACTTTGGCATTTTATTAGTGGAAAGCTTGGGACATCAGCCAAAGTGTCGACTTCTCGAGTCCCACTCCCGCGTCAGCACCTGGTGGAGGAGGGTCCACGCCAAGCAAGCGCCAGCAAACAGAGACGGCCCTAGGAACCGCCCCCTGACTGCCCTGCATTGAGGACACTCTTACCCCCTGTCGTCCGCTGCTGTGCCTGAGGTGAGCTCCAGCGCAGGCGGCACTTGCGGGCATTAGCACAACGGCCGACCTAGTGAAAGGGCTCCAAGTCCAGTGGAAGCCAATCAATCAGCCTTGGAACTGCTCGCTGCTGGAGCTTCCCACAGGTGGTATCCAACAGAGGGAGCCACACTTCCGGCCCGCCACGTCCGTCCGTCCGTCCCCACGCCGTTACAGACTCGCAGCTCTGGGCTCCATCTCGTCAATCCCGCCCCCCCCCGGTCCCGTGCCGTCTCCTTTCCTCGCCTTTTCGCATCTACGAGGTATCTGTCCCATCTTGTCTCACTCGTTACTCGACGACCACCACGGCGACCCAACGTCTTCCTTCCCTCGCGCCCGTGCCCGTGCGCCTGATGGAATAAAGGTTGCCCGCGCTGCAGATTTTCGCTACCTACGCCCGGACGAAGCCGCCGACGAGCGACCGACGACGACGACATCGAAGACGACGCCGCAGACGCGCGCGCGCACCGAGCTCAGGACAGCTCAGCGGTAGCTACAACAGAGCTTGCTGCGCTTTCCTCGGATGCTGCCCTGAGATTCCCCCCTCTCGCGCCCTCAGCCACGAGGTCAACACCGCCCTCGCCGCTCCTTAAACCCTCCGCGTCGTCCGTCGACCGCGCCGCCCATCATCTTCTTCCGTCCGCGCGACGACGGCGACTCTTCGCGCAACCCGCGCCCCATCCACCCCGCCCGCTCTCTCGCCCACGATGCCGTCCCCCCGCCGCCTCCGGCTCGTCATGCTCGCCGCCGTCCTCACCGTCGTCCTCATCCTCTTCTACTCGTCGGGCCTCGACGACAGCAAAAAGGACACGCGCTCCTTCCAGGACTTTTACCACAAGACCATGGACGGCATGAGCAAGAAGGGGTCAACGTCGCCACCGTCGCCGCAGGGCCAGGCCGTGCTCGACTCCAAGACGGGCGCCAAGGCCGGCCACATCCCCGCCGACACGGACGGCGACGGCGACGTCGACGAGGATGACCGCCGCGCGTCCGCCGGCACCAAGGAGCGCCTCCGCCAGGCCGAGCAAAAGGCAAAGGACCTGGCCAACGAGAAGTCGCCCCTCAAGCCGGACCCCCCGAGCGAGGTCGTCGGCAAGGGGAACTCGGCGGACGGGCAGGTCAAGAAGCCTGCTGCGGGCGGTGCGGGAACGGTCGGCAAGGCCAAGGATGCGCCGGCCAAGGAGTCCAAGGAGGAGAAGGAGATTGACGCGGAGCTGAATGCCATTCTGAAAAAGGCACCAGGTATGCTATCCCCAACTTATCCATCCCCAGGCGAATCTCGCCCCCATCGTGCGCCAAACCAAAAGCTAACCTGTCCCCTCCCCTCCCTCTCCACGCGCGTAGTCATCATCTTCTCCAAGTCCTACTGCCCCTACTCCAAGCGCGCCAAGGGCATCCTCCTCGAAAAGTACGCCATCACGCCCGCGCCCTACGTCGTCGAGCTAGACGAGCACCCTCAGGGCCGCCAGCTGCAGGACCGCCTCAAGCTCAAGACGGAGCGCGGCACCGTCCCCAACGTCATCATCAACGGCGTCAGCATCGGCGGCAGCGACGAGATCGTCGAGCTCGACAACGCCGACAAGCTCGTCGCCCGCATCAAGGGCCTGGCCGGCAAGCGCGTCGCCGTGGCGGAGCGCTTCAGCGCCGGGGGAGGGAAATGATGGATTGGTTGGTCTGAACCGCCCTCGGAACGGGCGACGACGGGTGACGGAGCTATCGGGTTGGCCAGCGTCGATCCCCTGTGGCCAGTAATGTGATGACAACGCTCCTCGGAAGGGGGTCATGTATGAATGGAGATTCAAGTTTGGCATCTTGGGGGACGAGAGTCGCGGCATCAGGCAGAGTGGTTCGCATTTGATATCAGGAGTTACGGCGCCTTGACAGTGTATGATCTGGCGGCAAGGGGGAACACGGCCCGCCCAATACCGGTTGCTACTCAGAGAAATATTGTGCCATTCATGATTCCATGTTTGGTCTAGTCCCATTGAACAGAGCCAGCAGTGACCGACACAGCAACAGGGCTTACGGGTGCGTGCAGCCCCGGCAATGCCTGTGGCCTCAGGCATGACGTTCCGAGGAGAGCTGTTCAGCAGGCTGGCAGCTGCTGGCACCTGGCAGCCGGCCGTGTTTGCTGCGCGTTGTTTATCAGTGCTTTTCTTCCCGTTCACCACGCGCCCTACCTCTTCCCAAACCTGCAACAAACAAACCGCGCAAGCACCAATCTCTACACCTCACCTCGCGTTGGAACAAGCTCGCAATGATTCCCGTTGAAAACTTCTACTTCTGCAATGTGAGCAAGCGCCGCAGAACCCATCCCGTTCGCCGCGCCAGAGCTGAGCATAACCGTGCGGGTGCTGCTCCCGCAGCGATAGGAACAGGCCTGGGCAATCTGGCCGTGCTGAGCAACGATGTCGTGCTCTTCATTCTCGAGTGCTGCGACTTCAAGACCTTGAAAACGTTGATGGCAATCCCCGTAAGTCACTCTGGGCGTCTGGCCTGGCTCACTTGATCGCCCTCCAACCGTTTCACGGGCTGACATGGTGTCGATAGTCATTCGCCCGGCTGATCCAGAGGCACGAGGCCAACATCTGCAAGGGCCTGCTGCGAGCGCGGCATCTCGACGAGGCCGTCATCAAAGGGGGCTATGTCGTCGACTCACTCCGTTGCAGATGCGGAAACCCGTGTGGACCGCAGTGGCTCCTGCCCGTCGACGCCCTGTTGGCGGTCCATGCCATCGAGGAGCGCGCCAGGGTTGTCGAAGGCGTCCTGGACAGCGACAACTACTTCATGGGAATGGACAGCGAGTGGCCGCGACTCGACAACGCGGAGCAGCGCGAGAAGACGAGGGAGATGCTGCGCGAGGGCATCCGGATCTGCGATCGCCTAGGGGACTTCGAAGGTGGGGTCATCGACCACGCAAATGCCAAGTTTCCCAAGGACAGACGCCTCCCGCTGACCAACCTTGAGCTCGAGAGCGGAGTCGCGATCCCTCACTATCCCGCGACGAAGCACACGTCCCGCGTACCGACGGCCGGCGAAATAGAGAAGAGGAACTACGCTCGATGGCGTCTCCGAAAACTTCAGAGTGAGTTCATTCAGTCTTGCAGCTTATATGATTTGTGCTGCCTCGTGCTGCTGCTCGAGCTCGCAAGCAAGTACGGCGTGCCAACTGGCCCGGCCGGCCCGTACTCGAGTGGCACGAACGAATCGATCCTGCGTCACGGGAGCTGGTTCCTGGCAAGCTGGGCCCAGACCAAGAAACACCACTGCTTTGGTCAGCACTCATATGCCAGCGAAGTTTCCTCTGCCGCGCACAGAGACTTGAGCAAATGCACAGTGGGCCGAGGTCTCAAGTGGGCCGGCATCAGGCAAGACGAGCTCACGGTGGTCCTGGGGAAGGAGCTGCGAGACAGACTCGGCTATCCGCTTGGAGAGGAAGGCATGGAGACGGATGTGTTGGCAAGAATCGACGAGCTGATTCGGGGCCCGCAGACGGACGAGCCGAAGACCTCTATGTTTGATGAGAAGCCGGTGCGACAGTAAGGGAGCGCTGAGGAAGCGCCGTTGGGCCCGGCTTGCGCCGGATGATGAACTTGTCCGACTAGATGTTGATGGAGGGGTTTGCTACCATGTGGCCTTGCAGAGAGGGCTGGCCCAGGAGTCAACAGGCCCAAAGCCTGGGCGATGGGGGAGGTGTTGGATGAGGCCGGGGTTGGGACGCGCGGGACACGAGAGGAGACGCTGGGCTGCAGTCTGTGAAGGGGAATAGCGTCTGTCTGCCGGGTTTGTTTAGGCCGTCAGGCTCATCCTTTGTAAAGTATTGAATCAGCTCAGAAGAGCAAATGTATGGAAGTAGGACACAGTTCGGCTCCGGCAAGCAGATCATGGTCTCATTCGCCCCGTCGTGCGGTGGCTTCATGCACCGCGCTGACGCCACATCTGGTAGCTCGTCGAAAGCGGGAGGTGCGTGTTGCGGTCAGACGTGTCGGTTCAGTCCAGGGGGACATGAGCGAGGCTGCCCTGGCTGGCCGGCCAGATGCCGTTTGGTGTTGGCATGGCCAAAGGAGGCATATCGTGTGGTCTCTGTCCGCCGGGTAAGATTCAGATGACGATGTGAAGAGATGAAGTATGCTTGTTACTCGAAGAGAAGTGATGGTTTAACTTTCGTCTGTGGAGGAAGAGGAGCCAGGATGGATGATGCGGGACCGCAGGGGTCTGGCAACGCTTTTGATGCTGGGGTGTCAGTCCCAGGTTGTTGGCAGGGACTGCAGGGGTCTACCGTGTTGGAGGGAGCACGAGGGGAAAGAGCGCCCGCCTGGATGTTGGCATGTTCCAACTGGCAAGTACCCGGAGGGAGATGCGACGATAGCGCTAACAGAATCGACGCAGCAGGGGACGGGCGCCCCCAATCGCCAGGCATGCAGGCCGGACGAGGACAATGCAACACCACGTTCGCCATCGCCGGCTCAAAGCAGCAATTCGAGGGTCTCTCGTCTCCAACGGCTCCCCGAGCCAAGTGAAGACGGTGCACGGCGTCCCCGCGTCGCAGCATCAGCAGGCGTCCATTGCCATGCCCAACGCAGCAACGCTCGACACCGTTGGCAGCACCTTCTGGACGCTGTGGCGTCACCGTTGGGCCTCACCCCCGGAAGGGCCCCCAGAGTCCCCAGACCACCTGGGCGCACCCGCTAACAAGTCACCACCAACACCACCACGACTCCCAACACCACCACCAACACCACACCACCGCCCACCACCACCACCGTCCCTGTACCCGCCCAGGGGTCCCCAGACCGCGCGCACGCGAGAATCGAGACTCGCCCATCGAAACGCCTGGCGTCGCCCAAGCCTGCCTCCCCCCATTGGGCGTCGGCCCCTCGCCCGCTGGTTCGTCCGTATCGCAGCCAAGCCCTGCGCCTGCGCATAAGAAACGGGCGTCACCCACTCAGCTCCCGCCGTCGACGCCCTCCTCGCTTGTCGCATCTTGAGTTATTATCGCTGCTCCATCGCGCACTCCCGTCTTTCCATCCAGAAGCGCCATCGAAAGCAACCCCGTGGACGACGAACCGCCGCCGTCTTGGCACCGCGCGCCGCATTGAGACCCTCCGTTGAGCCTTAGACCCTGCGCGCCGCGAGTGACGTCAAACCGTTGACCCGCGCGTCCCTGATACTACCACGCTGCTCTTCGTACCCGTCCAGTCGACTCGCCATCGCTCACCACTCCATCTGCACAGCAACCGCCGCCATGACCCGCCGCCCGTCCACCAGCTCCAATTCGGACGCCTCGTCCACACTCTCCGGCTCGACGGCCTACTCCTACACAAAGGAGCCCATGGCCGCGACCGTCGAGGAGAAGGAGAAGCGCCGCGGCCTGCGCCAAAAGGCCCGCGACGTGGTCCACGACCTGGGCGCGCCGCCCACCAAGAGGCAGGACGCCAAGGAGGGCAAGCACACGTCCAACTTTGCCGAGGTGGCCTTTATCGGCGACGGGCTCTCCAACCTGCCCAAGGTTTAGTCCGCAAGGTCTAGTCAGAGAGAACATACGGCCTTGGCCGTGGCCATTTGCGACCAAGAGAATGGAATGACATGCAAAAACGGGGGGGGACCAAGTGATGAGGCGTTTACTTTTCGATGGATTGCGGTTTGGATCTTGCGTGCGATATGTCTGGGAAATGGCGTTGGATTGGGACAGACGGACGACCAGTCCATGGCGAAATGCGAGCCGAGTATTGGTCTCGCTGACGCGCAAGGATTTGATGCCCAGACGCTCACATCGTTTGGCGCGTTGACGAGCATCTGAACCTGGCACGTCCCCAGCACCCGAGGCCAAGATCTGTCACGAGCGAGGGGCGGCGTTCGTGGCGTATGGCTTGCCTTGGCTGCGTCACGCCTGGTCCCTGCGCTGGGCGTACAGTCGGTAACGAAGCGATGTTGACTTATCTATTTATCTCGTTCGCAATGCCTTTTAATGACAATGCACGTAACTCGAATGTTGAGCACGGTTAGTGGTTTCGTAAGTCTGCGCTTCAGAGCGAACATGGCCCAGAGGAATTGGTACCGATTCCGAGCGACCTGGCATCCCTTCGCTGATACACGACGAAGCTTGTCACTAGAGTGAATGCAGCGGCCTTCTTCGCAAATGGCCTGTTCCGTTCACACTCGGAGTCGTGAGGCTGAAGGCTGCGCTCGTAATGGCGAGTATCGTCCATCTACACACACTTGCGTCGTCGATTAGTTCACTGCCACGAATCTCCAGCAAGACCTGCCGCTCCTTGGCCCGGGACCTGTTAGACGCCATCCCGTGGAACATTCGCCGCGCCTGGACCCAAACCTGCCCGTACTCCGACCGTCGTCTCACCTCGTGAAGAACCCACCGTCCACTGCCTGCGTTACGCAATATATGTGACCGAAACCCCCCTCCCCCTTTATAGGTTTTCGCACATGCTCATTACCTCATCGTACCATGCGCACGACCGCGCCACTCGAAACATGGAGAGCCTGAAATAAAACCTGTCGGTTCGAACAAAATCGTCCATGATAACTGCGTGTTCTCCCCCCGCAGTCGAAAAAGAATAGCCTTCAGATTTGTTGGTTCTCTTATCCTAGGTTGATCTGACTTACTCGCAGCAATGAAGCATCATCTTATTCTCCTCTTCGCGGTCCTGGGCGCCGCCCACCAAGCCGCCACCGAGGACAAACTCTACGGGGTGAGTTGATCATAACAGCGCCCTGCCGTGTCTGCTCTTTGTCGTCCCCCTCTCGCCCAAGGCCGATTTGTCAAGAGAGCGAGTAGGGCGGAGAGGCAAAATGAGCTTTGAGCTCAAGAGAGTGAGGAGAGGAAGAAAAGAAAGAGTGACGACTGACGCGCTGTTGTTCGGCAACGGGCAGGTATGCAACGCCGCCGACAACACCTGCGCCCTGCAACAGCCTCACTTCCTCGGGAGGAACGAGTTTGGCTACGCCCAGTTCCGGTACGAGGAGGTCATCATGCCCTGCGACGACGCCACTCCCGTGAGTTACCTACCTTGCTACCCATTCTCCCCTCTCTCCCTTCTCACCCCCCATAACTCCAGCTCCAACAACCGCCTATGTAAAGCAGTTTCCGTCTGTCTGAACACGGAGCTCACATACATGCATGAATATAGTGCCGCACGCAACGCAACCACTGCAGCTGGAACAAAGACACCTGCAAGGTCGTCTGCGACCGCCCCGCAGACGTACGTGGACTCTCCTACGCTCATTCATCCCCATGCGCGTTCTTGATTCCCTCCCGAGAAGCCAAAACGTTCTTTTTTTCTTGTGTTGTGCCGTTTTTACTAACGATTCGTCTGCTTACCTGGGAAGTACAGTGGGCTCGGTAGTCCCGTTCCCCCACCGCAACGACCGCGGACCTGCTGCAAGTCCAGTCCAACTCCCGTCTGCATTTGTAAAACTCGCAGTGCGCCGTCGGCTTTGAGATGGAGTTGGTGGTCCGTCCAAAGTTGTGGGCAACTGAGCCTCCCGTCGCGGGCGGCGGAGGTGGGACCCCGTCGTCGGGTTATCCGCTCGCTCGCTTGGCCGGTGGTCTCATGTGAAAGCGAGCCTTACAAGCTCCACGGAGAGAGCCCATTGCCCTGCAGGCTTGGGGGTGTTCGCCTACATCAGGCGGGCTGTCTTTGGTTGTGTGTCAGCGTTCGGGGGCTTACAAATGGATCGATCCGTGGGGACGGATGGGGGGCTTCCTCGCGCTGGGGCGTCGATCCTTTGGTGGGCTGGGATGGCTGGCAGCTGGGGGCGGCAAGGCGGGGTGGGTGCTGGGATGGGGCTAGGAGCCTAGGACGCTGTCGTCTGGAGCCGCTTGTTGACGTCGGCCGCTTCCTTTTGTGGTTTTCTGTATGAAGTAATATGTGTTATAAGTGGGCAAAGTGAACAATTGTTCGTCGTCATATCCATCACGCCTGCTCTTTCTGTATAAGAAGCATCTCGCGTCGCCTGCAGCAACATCGACGAGCCATCAACTCATCATCTCTGCATCTTATACCCGGTCTTTCACACACAGTCACAAGCAACGCTGGTGAGCACCTCGCTTGGCACCAAGGTCCATATATCCAGGGATACACACTCTATTCTCGCTCGTGCATCCACGCTGCCACGACAACCCCCGTTCGGAGCCCCCGCCATGGCTGCTACTCCTGCTGCCGCTCCTCTCCCCGCGACGCAGCGCGCCGTCGTCATGACGGGCAAGCGCCAGCCCTACGCCGAGATGGAGGTGCCCGTCTTCGCCCCGGAGGCGGGCGAGGTCGTCGTGCGCGTCGAGTGGACGGCCTCGACGCCGCTAGACCTGCACCGCGCCGACGGCGGGCTCCTCGTCCCCTCGTGGCCCGCGCAGACGGGCGGCGGCGGCGCGGCCGGCACCGTCGTCGCCCTCGGCGGTTCTGACGCCAACGACGCGGCGCTCAAGGGCCTGCGCGTCGGCGACAAGGTCATGGCCTTTGCCTTCCACGGCGGCAAGGAGGCCAACCACCAAGAGTACATCACCATCCCCGCGTACCTCGCCGGTCGGGTCCCCGACGGCGTCTCGCTGCAGGAGGCGAGCACCGTGCCCGTCAACCTCGTCACCGTCTTCCACACCGCCACCACGGACCTTGAGCTCGAGCTGCCGTGGCCCATCCCGCAGGGCTGGACGCCCGCGGCGGCCGACGCGCCCATCCTCGTCTGGGGCGCGAGCAGCAGCGTTGGCATCTACGCCGTGCAGGTGCTGCGCCACTGGGGGTACAGGCAGGTTCTGGCCGTGTCGAGCGGCAGGCACCACGAGTACCTGCGGCGTGTGGGCGCGACGGCCTGCTTCGACTACACCAAGCCCGACGTGGTGCAGTCCATCCTCGCGTACGCAAGGGAGAATGGCAGCGGCGCCGGGGAGCCGCAGGTCCCCTACATCCTCGACTGCATCGGCTCGCTGGAGGGGACCCTACGACCCCTGACGAGCATCGCCCAGCGCGGGAGCCGCGTGGCCGTCATGCTTCCCGTTATCCTCAAGGACACCACAGAAGAGGACGAGCCCGAGTATGAGATGGACGTCTCCAAGTGTCTGCCGGACAAGTGGACAGAGGGCGTCATCCTCAGGGGCGCGAGGACACACTTCTATCTCCAGGTGAGTCCCCTGCCCAGCGCCTCACGCGCAGCACGCAAGCTGACCCTGCGCAGAACGAATTCTTCAAGGAGAGGTTGCAGCCTGAAATCATGCCTGCCTTGCTGGCGGACAAGATCATCGAGCCCAACAAGCAGCGCATCGTCGAGGGCGCAAGCATGGTGGAGAGGGCACAAAACGCGCTCAGCTTGCTAAGGAGCAAGACGGTGAGCGGCGAGAGGTTAGTGTGGAAGGTCTCGGACTGAAGTGGTGCAGGTCGGCGACCATGAATAAAGTATTAAATGCATCCGTCATGTCTGAACGCCTTCCGACATCCCAATCATGCAGTCATTCGCCTGTGTATCCCGGCTTCTCAGCTTCCGTGGCGCATCTTGGCCGTATATGGCGGAGGCGGGTCCGGTCATCTTGCTGGCCAGCATGACGGCCCCTCGTGATGGCCTACATCGTCGCCTATTTTCTGGTACCGCACTGAATCGTTCCAAAAGCGGTTCTTCTCAGAGAATCATTGGCGTTTCGAACAAGCAAGCGCGCCCTTGTTGTCAAGTCATCCGTTGCATGAGCCGGGCCCGGCACTTAGTCGTCGCGGCTCGGCGCGGAATATGCATCACCGTCCGACACTGTTCATATCATTCCAGCGCACCCTTTATATCACTCACACAGGAATTGTGGTCTCGCCCTCCATGAAGTGATCCATGGCATCAGTGCCAACTTGCCTGTTCAACGGTCAGTACAGCAGCGCCTTTTTAGAGTTTCTAGAGGACGACACATCAAAGAGTCGAAACGAAAATAAAGAGGAGGAGGGGGGACGGGGTTTGTGCACGCACGTGGTAAGCATCAGGCGCGTAAAGTCGTCAATATCGCCGGGCCGCCCGTACATCCAAAAGTCCTTGAAGGACAGGTTTTCGATCCACCACTGAGGCTTTTCGCGCCAGGCGCGGTAAAACTCGACCGAGGACGCCGCGTCCCAAAGGTGCCGCGAGGCGGTAAAGCTCTGTGTCTCGCTCCACATGCCGCAGTCGGCTGCGCGCGAGAAGAGTCCATGATTAGCCCAGGTAGTCGGTGAAATAGCAAGGGGTTGCTGCTGCAGTTGCGGCTGCTGCTGCTGCGGCCACCAAGACGACGACGAGGACGCCAATGGTGGTTGCGGCAGAAGCGGCTGTGGCTGCGGCTGCGGGGGGAGGGAATAGGGGGATTGCATACGTTCTTCCGACTTGAGCACGTAAATGACGCACATGAAGGCGTAGGCGGCCATGATGCTGCGTCGGGCGCTCTCGAGGAAGATCCAACTCTACAAAGACACGTTAGCGTTATGCTTCTCCTCTCCCGTCTACGAGGGGCTGCAGATGGGGGACTGGGCAGCAAGCGGGGCAGTCGAAGGAAAGGGGTACACATACTTCCCAGCTCTTGGGGTTGGCCTCCTTGCCGCCCACGCGCTGACCATTGACGCGCGACTCGGCTTCGAGCTCGTCCTTTGCGAGCTCCAGGTCCTTGACCCAGGCGAGCATGATGCACATCTCGCGCTCCGCGGCGGCGCGCATGCCGACGTCGCCGTCGAAGACGCGCATCGAGTTGAGCACCGTCATGGCCTGGACGCGGGCGAGCCTATCGGCGGGGGTGACGGCGCGCTCGCCCTCGCGGTGGACGTCGCGGGCGGCGTCGGCGAGGAGGCGCATGGCCCAGGCCTTGTTGGCGGGTGACCGCCCCGAGTAGGCAGCCGCGGCGGCGTAGGCGGCGAGCATCGTCTTGGGCAGCTGCGTCGCCCACAGGCGCGGGTGCATGAACGGCAGGGCGCGCGTCGAGGCGAATGTCGAGTGCAGGTTGGTGAGGAAGGAAACGATGAAGCCGACGCGCGTGCGCGGGTCGTGCACCTGCAGGGGGTCGACGTCGAGGCAGGCCTGCTCGTTGGCCTTGAGGACGGAGAGGTCGCGGACGGGCTGCTGTGGTTGCTGGTGAAGCTGGGACTCTTGTTGCTGCTGTTCGAGGGTCTCCGTCATCGTCGCCGCGGGCGGCATCGTCGGCAGCGGCGGGAGGTCGAGCTTGCCGCTGCCGGAGCCGGCGTCGTGATAGCCCGGGTGCAGGTTCCAGATGTCGGCGGCGCCGGCGCCACCCGAGGCGTTCATGAGGTCGACGATGGAAAAGTCGACGCCGCCGAGGATGTTGCCGACGTTGTCGTCGCCCGCGACGCCAGCGTGGTGGTTGCAGTTGGCGGCGCCGTTGTGCATGCTCTCGGAGCTCGTGTCGGTGCCCAGGCTGTCCATGTCGAAGCCCATGTCAAATTCGGGCACGTCGCCGAGGCCCGGCGGCGTGCAGTTGGTGGTACTTGAGGCGGAGGAGCCGGAGCAGGCGTTGCCGTTACCGTTGAGATTGTTAGTGTTGTTGTTGGCGGTGGAGGTGCCGTTGGTAGAGTTGGGCGTCGTCGACGTCGTCGCGGCAGAAGAGGCGTGATGGTGGTGGTGGTGATGGTGATGAGGCGACGACGGCGGCGGCATCCGCTGGTAGACACACTCAAGCCCCTTGTTCGCGCACCGGGTGCACCGGGGCGTCCGCTTGTCACAACGGCGCTTGCCCCGGACGCAAGCGTTGCAGCTCTTTTGCCGAGATGCGGCCGCGGCGCGCTCCTCGCGGAGCAGCGTGCCGACGAGGGCATCCATTCTGGATCGCGAGAAGCCTTTGAGACGTGGGGAGGCAGCCGCTGAGCGGTGTGTATGTGAGTGTGTGTGCGCGCGTGTGTGCCTCGTCAGATTCGTCCACGGTTACTCGCGCGTGCTCAACGCCTCGCCTATCTCATCAGTCGTGTCGAGCTCGGCGCGAACGGATGCTGGCGTTGGCCGCGGCGATGACGGATGCAAGGACGGATGAGAAGACGGATGAGAAGGCACAACCTGGAAGGCACTTCCATGGCGCGGCGCGGCGCCGCCGTTCCTTCCTCGCGTGCGGTGCGGTCAACTGAACGGCGGACTGGATTCATCAGCATCCAGGCGCCAGCGGCCGCCTCAGCAAATCAGCGGCCTCCCTTGCTCGGGCCTGCCCCGCCCTATTCGGGGCGTCTGCCCACCCGAACTCCGGCACGGGCCCCCTCTTCGGGGCGGCCGTGTAGTCCGCCGCACACGCCACTGAAAAGTCGCCGCGCTGCGGACATCAGCGTCGGGTCGGCTGACTGAGGTGCGCGCCTGGCGGGCGAAAAAAGCCGGGACCGCAGCGCCAATCCGCCGAGCGAGCAAACCGTGAACACCGTCTTGGACTTGAACAAGCTCAACATCTTTAAAAGATGTTGGTCGAGTTCATCTCCCAAAGGCGCAGTCCTTCTTCTGTATTATTCTACCCCATATCGCTGCCGTTTTAATGGTCTGGGAACGGACAAGGGTTCCGCGGTGGCGCTTTGATTCTGTCCGCTGCAGGCTGGATACGTGTACCCTGGCGGACTCCGCAGGACAGAATTCCGCCTGCTGGTCTAATCACCGTTCCAAACCGACTTGTCATCTGCCGTTGATATCTCGGCATGGAATCGCATCGTAGACCATCGACGTATTCAGGGTGCAAGGGGGGTCCATCACAACTTTGCCCGCAGCTTGTTTCGCAAGGGCACATGCGCGGCTGCATGCCTCCCGCCCACTTTATCTGCCTGCATGCACGCAACACCTGCAGGCAAGGCTCAAACCCGTCCATTCGAAGGGCTATGTACGTCCAGCTGCTCCCTCCTCCCCGACATGCCCACATGCCCTTGCGCCGTCACCCAGCTGCCTGCCGGCCAGTTTGCCAAGGCGGCCCCTGCGTGCGCCGAGCCTCGATCGGCCCATCAATTCAAATCCAACCATCGACCTTCAATGGTCTCCCGCTCTCTCTCAGCCTTTTCGCCATCCTCAGAGGTCCCTCCCTCCCATCATCGTTTGTGCAAGCAGGCCCCCTGTTGCCGGGCAGCTTGTCCCTGTTTAACCCTTCGCCGTATGAAGACCGACCCGGACTGCGTACTCGGAACTCGTCACGAAGCTCCTTTCCAGCATGCCCCCCCCTGAATCCTCCACGACTCCATTAGGATCTCGTACCGACAATCCACGGCACAAGGCCCGCCCAATTCATTGCGGGAAATATCCGCGCGTACAAAAGAGATGAACATCCGACAGTTGTCGAGTTGCACTCGTCGACAGCCAATGCGTCCCGTAGTGTGTTGGTCTCGAAAGAAAGCGTGTAGGTACAAAGCCGCCTAATGTCAGGCAACCAATCCATGAGCGATATGCTCACAGCGTAAATTAGAAAGTCAAACAAGAAATCCCTCTAGTAAAACAACGAGGCCTACGCCGGACCTCGACCGGGGGCTCAATATGCGCCAAAGTCCGGATTTCGTGGATCCAGCTGCGGCGGCAGCATGGCGGCTGTGCCGTTCTCTCTTTTTTGTTGCAAATCGTACCCTGCTGGTTTATCGTTCAGTCGTGCATTTGCTTGTCTTGTCTGACATAGCAAAGTCTGGTCGCTTCGTCCGTGGTGGACAAACCGCGACCGAGCGAGCTCCTCAGTACCGCTCTGGCCGGTACCCGTTGACACGGGGCGCCTCGTACTGTACGCCCGTCATCGAGTCCGGCCCATTCGGTATACTGTTGCTGATGGACCGCAGAGGTGGCAGCTCTGTGCGGTTCGCGTTGGCGTAGGGATCAGGCGCGTACGAGCCCCCTTGCGAGCTCGGCGGCTGCGACGGCGGCGGGCCTTGCTGGGCATGCGATGGAGGGTGCGCACCTTCCATCCTCACGCCGTGCAGCTCGCGACGTAGCATCTCGATCTCGGCCAGGGCTGTGTTGTAGTGGGACTGAAGGAGTCGGAGATGCTCCGACTGTCTCTGGTGTTCCGCGATCGCTGCAGAATGTTAGCTGTCGAGGTATTCACCGGTTGGGG